TCTTCTTTATTAATAATATTCACGAGTAGCAATTTTTCTAGGTCTGAATCTGCTCTCCCTTCTAGATTGTTAATACCTCCAAATTCAACATCAGGCATAAATTTACTTTCATCACTAAGGTTGGATAACATCTTATTTTTATATCCACATTTATTCATGATAACTGCGCCTGATCCTTTATCAGGTTTTAACAAGATAATATCAGAGTTTGTTCGTAGTTCTTTTAATGATTTAAAATGCTGAGAAGTTAACATGCTTCTCTGCTTTGGTCCAACATTATGAAATTGGTGTGCTATATCCACCAGTTTAGCTTTACACCAGCTTTGATTATTTAAAGACGTAGGGGTTAGAGTACTCAGTTGATCATATAGATTTTCAAATTGGGGATTTATTTCCAATTAAGACATTTGAGTTATAATGACCGAGAAATTAAAACCAAGAGAAAGTGCTTCCTTTTCATTAGCAGATAATACAATGGAGGATAAATTAGTGACATACATTTCAGGATTTACTGGGAACAAATTAACTTGATTAGTAATAATACAAAATTTTGCGAGCTTTTTACTGATCCTTTCCTTTAATAATAATAATAATATATTTCTGCATGTGCAGGTATGTAGAATTATGGTCTACTATGATATTAGTACTGCTCTAATAATAGACCTAATCCTATATTTGTATATTTGTCATGATATAACTGCCTAATCTATAAGATCTTACGTGGAAGTCACACCATCGACTACACCAACTCACTGTATCGTATCAATTACCAATACATGATGTAGAACAAGGTTAGGCTAGAGAAGGAACAATATATTTAATATGAATAGAAGATATAAGGTAACATTCAGCAGAGACCACGCCTGCATGGCCGAGCCATGCCACTCGATCAACCGCAGTCGATTCAACTCATTGATCACGCCTTCTCCATTGTTAGGTATTTCTCCGCGTTAAATATTGAATATCTATTTTCTGAGTAGTCTCGTGTTCACAGCTTTGTGGATTGTGTGGCTATTGTCCAATGTCACTACAGGTACACACCGCTTTTACAGGCATGATCTATAAATTACAACATTTGTTGGCTCGCAAAATGCTTCCCAACTTATCAAGTTTATAGTTGTTATAAAGTGAAATCGTAGAGCGCTTGCTGTAAACTATGACCTTGAGAGGACGCGTACGTCACGTTTGGAGCAAACGTGACGTACGCGTTTTCAAAATGACACTACTGCAAAAGTTGGTGAATTTGTATTGCGCTAATATATCACATAGTTCTGGTAATCTTCGTCTTCTAATTTCATCATCTAAATTTATCAAAAGGACTAATTCTTTTATCCATTTTGTCCGTTTTCAGTGTGCTTTTTAGTGTATTTTTACTGTCTTGGGCTTTTGCAAGCATCTGTAACATAGTTTGTTTAAACATAGTCATGAAAAATCCATGCAAACGTCCGGGAAGCCGTTTTGCTGTTACAACTGGCATGCAATGGGACAGCTGCAAAGGTTGGTTCCACGAAGCGTGCACAGATCTGATGGCAACTGCTTACAATAGACTCAGCAAGTCGGGCCAAAAGCAGGCATGTGTCACGTGCAGCACGGACGCTGTAGTCTTGCTAAGTAACATCATCGTCCTACTGACAGTTCGTGAGTATTCTCTCATAATCATGAACCACATTGACAATCCTGACCTTTCTCTCAGTCCGCAGGACAAAAATGATAGGATTCTCTGGGGTGAATTGAACAAGAAGCTCGAACTTCGTAGAATAGAGCCTTTGACGGTCACACGGCTCGCTCGAGGAAAGGATTCTAAGCATCCAAATTACCCGATGCTTCTTCGAGTAACACTTAGGGATGCTACCGACGTAGAGGACGTCTTGCTAGCCAGTCACTTGCTGAAATCCGATGTGAACGTAAGAATATTGCCCGACATACCGTACTCTGAGCGCAATATCATACGGAAAACCCCTAAAGAATCTCGCGAGGAGTCTTTCCGCGGAAGAAACATAATTGTGCAAGTTATACCGAAAAATACGGACCCTACTCAATCAAACTCTGACATCAGGGAATGGAAATTCATCAAACAGTCCTTGAAGCTCAAACACATACCAACTCAGCATGTGACGAAACTAGCCAAGAAGGATGGTAATCCTGGACCCCGTCTAATGAAGATAACCTTCCCATCCTCACACATGGCGGCTGCAACTCTGGAAGAATTTCGTGCAAACGGACGTCGATTGCCACCTGGAATCCACATGCACCCGGATAGGCCATACGAAGCTAGGACCAAACACAAAGATAAGATGGAGCTGACCATTCCACTTGTGGACTGTCTAGACGATAAGAAAACGTGTAAAGGACAGGGCCTACCGCCTCGGCAAACCTCATATAGGTGGGCTACCTGTCCATTCACGTAAGGCTCATACAGACAAACAGGACGAAGCTCACGCGTTCCAAATTGAAAGTATAAACTGAACGCTGGGAGTCTGCCAAACAAAACGGATGAATTACGTGAACTTAGCGACGCTAATAAGGCCCATCTGATAGGAATATCTGAAACCTGGATATTTTCTCAGTTCTCAGACCAAGAGTTAGAATTACCTGGGATGTCTTTGTTCCGCAACGACAGAAAATCAGGGATTGGGGGCGGAGTAGCCGTACACATACGTTCTTGCTTGGAGGTGCACCAAGTTCATAACCTAGAGTTTAACAATCTTGAGGAATCCATATGGTGCTCTGTAAGATTGTCTAGTACTTTGAGGTGTCTAGTCGGAGTCACTTACAGGAAGCCAACTGCCGACATCGAGTACGATAGTCGTATGCTGGAAGGACTATCCCGCTCTACCCGTCTCGGTTTCACACACATCCTGATTCTAGGGGACTTTAATCTCCCTAGAGTCAACTTCGCGGAACACACGTATACTGGAGGCGATAACTCAGTTGAAGCTCGGTTCTTCAACCTCATCGATGACTTGGGATTATGCGAAAATGTGAGATCGGCAACTCGTTGGAGAAACAGTCAGACACCATCGCGCTTAGACTGTGTATTCACAAACGAAGAATTACTAGTTGACAACCTCTCAATCCTGGCTCCCCTGGTAAAAAGCGATCATGCCGTCATAGCCTTCGGTTTTGTCAGCAAAACTAAGCAAAGGTATCCCACCACTAACTTGCGTTGAAATTTTAAACGGTTGAATGTGCCAGCTCTACACGACTATCTACAACAGGTGGTTTGGGATGATCACACCCAACTCGATGTGGACGGTCATCGGGACTTCTTACTGCATACGCCCTTGTGTGCTACAAACCATTCAGTTCCTCGAACGGTTCCTAAAGGCTGCAAGCCACCTACAATAATCAAGAACCGTACCCTTCGCCTGCTAAGCTGAAAAAGGCACTGTTGGGCGGAATACAAACGAATTGACAACGACGGGGCGTACAGGCAATATAAACATATAAGAAACATATGGGCGAAGGCTATAAGAGAAGATAGGCTTCAGTACCAGACAAAGCTTATGGACGAATTTGTCTCTAATCCGAAAAGCTTATTCCGTTATGCAGCCCCTCTTCGTCAAGCCAAAACTGGAATTTCCCAACTGGTAGGTCTTAACGGCCCGCCCAACAACGATGGCGATGCCTCTAACCTTCTTGCTGAACATTACTCACAGACATTTCAACTTCACTGTTGAAAGTTTCATCTGCAATTCCATAGGACTTTTCGAAGTGAACCCAAGCGCTGAATCGGTGTTCCGGAAATTGCAGCACTTAAGATTAAACACTTCTCCTGGCCCGGATATGGTCCATTCTGCCATACTGAGGGAAGCAGCCTCAATCCTGGCAGTTCCGCTCAGCGTGATGTTCTGGAACTCGCTAAGCCGAGGCAAACTACCGGAAACTTGGAAGTTGGCTCACACCACAACAATTTTCAAAGGAGGTCGACGCAATGAACCTTCAAGTTGCCGGCCGGTGGCTCTTCTGTCATTACCTTCAAAACTCTAGAGTCCCTGGTATGCGGTGGTTTAAACGACTATGATGTTAAACTTTGGAGAGAGATACGAAATTAAGACGATATACAGGCACTTCAGGAGGATCTGACTCGACTCCAAAGTTGGGTAGATAATATTGGACTTACTTTTAACACTTCAACGTGTAAAGTAGTTCATCTGCGACATGTCACAGACTACAGTTATAACTTAGGTAACTCCTCTCTAGTAGTATCCCAAGTCGAAAAAGATTTAGGAGTCCTGGTGCCCCATGATTTAAAGTCTTACGCTAACTGTGACAAAAATGCCTTCCGAGCAAACCTTGCACTGGTAACGTTGAAGCGCATTTTTGGACAGTTTGACGGACGAACTTTCCATACAATCTTCAATAGTTTCATCCGTCCCCATTTAGAGTACGGAAACATAGTATTTCCCCCCTCACTCCAAAAGGACAGGGTCACTTTGGAGCGTATCCAACGGCGAGCCACGAAATCAGTTCGAGGACTCAAATCTAAATTTTACGAAGAACGCCTCTATTCACTAGACCTTTACCCATTAGAGTATAGGCTTCTTAAAGATGATTTATTAATGGCTTATAGTATTTTCAACACTCCTGGACATCCGCTTAAACACCTACTTAAGCTTAGTTAGAACACTAACCTAAGGGGTAACAACAAGAAACTGGAGACATAAAATAGCAAAACGGGATGTAGACATAAATTCCATTCCTTAAGAGTTGTCAAATGCTGGAACTCACTGCCGGCCTAGTTAGTCCAAGCGATTTCCCAGGAGTCCTTCAAGAGGCAACTTGACCTATTCTTAAGGACCAAGGACTGCATTATACCATGATTTACCAATTTCTTTTTCCTCTTTTATTGTTAACATACCTAGGTTTCTGCCTGGACGATTTGGTGATCCCCTGCTACTAGACACAGAAGCCTGTTAAGCGAAAGCTTCTTCTATTCTGTCCACAAACATTTGAAGAAAGGCGGTTTAATTAAACGGCGCGTTACACTCTTACTCGTGATGTCATCGGTTCTAAAGAACAAGATTTTGAAACCATTTCTTAAGTAAGCATTGTATTTATTTAATACTCACTTTGGTTCATCTGCCAAAACATATTAAAAGATGCACGATCTCTTGACCATAATATGATCAACAGATATATACATGGATTTATAATTAACGTAGGAAATGTATGACTTTTTCCATCAAATTCCCGTCTATGTTTTCTGCTATAGGTTTTGTTGTTTTGGTATCGAGCGTTTGATATGAAATTCTAAGTGAATCTTTTCACTTCAACGTAGGTAGAAGTTGTGTCCTTGTGTTTGCGTAAGCGCTTCTGTGTGAAGTATAGCAGTAAGCCACATTTCGGCTTATATATTCATTTTTACGGCCAGACCAGTAGATACGGTTTATATGATGAATTCAGTGAGTATCTTTTCGTTTTAGCTCCCTTATCTGACCTGCTGAATCTATTTTAATGTCATAGTGACTCCAACCCCTTATATATCTTGCTGCGCAACAACTCCTGACATGATATGAAACCATATTTTCTTTAAATGGCTGTATCTTGTACATTCATGCCGATATTTACTGAGGGATACGGTCCTTCCTGTGGATCTCAAGTGTCACAAGAAAGAAACAAAATGGTTTCCGGTGGATTCCGATTCCACAACTTCTGTCCTCTGATGTCCCATTTATAAGAGTGAAATAATCCATTCACGTTTATACTTCATTTTATGAAGGGCGAGACTATAATTTATGGACAACCTTTGAACGAATTTATTTAGCCAAATGGATGAAAAGCTTTCGCGTTAAAATCTGAGATCTGTTATCGTATACCTGATTGGTTTGTCCACTAAATTATATTCTCGCCGTTTTGTTTGTTATAGCCGCTCAATTATCACGTTTTGTACAAAATTCCTTGTGAACCCATCGTACGTTAGCATTGAGCACTGAAGTTGGTGCCATAACCTTGAAATCCTTCCAGCGCTTCTGATTGGCTCGTCCATAAATTCGAGTTAGTGAGGCTTTCATTCATGGACGACTTTTGAGCGATACTCAGAAAGATATTGAGAATGTCCACCTACACACTACGGCTAAATGAAGGTTATAAACTTGTATGAGGAATTGAGACTAATATTTACAGTTGATAGCTAGGGTTACGAGTCAGATCTAGGGTTTTCATCACGAAATGATATCAATTGCTTTGTCATCCTTACTTAGTACCCGTTTCCTAACAACTGCATTACTTACTCGATGGTCCCAGGATATACGAGCAATGTTTCGAAGACACCTATGATCAAATACTAGTAACCTACGAATATCCTCTACTCTTACTGGCCATGTTTCACTGACATAAAGTAGGAAGGAACGAACTGCTGCACAGTAAACACGTCCTTTGGTTGATAGACGGATATCTCTCCTACGCCATAAATGACGCAAGTTGGGAAAAGCTAGTCGAGCTTTCTGTATCCGTGCTGAGATTTCGTCACATACCAGACCACAAGGGCTGATGAGGCTCCCGAAATAAGTGAAGCGGTTGACACGCTCAACTACTTCACTCCCTATCACTAGTTCGAATGTCGATGCAACCCAATCCTGAAGCAACATTTTGCATTTCGAGGGGAGAATCGCATCCCGAATATGCTTGCATTGTTGCTTAGATTGGTCAAAAGACTCTGCCTTTTGTCAGCGTCTTCACCAAATAAAACTATGTCATCAGCATATTCTAAGTCAACAAGTGAATCTCCCGGTAGAAGTCTAACCCCTCGAAATTTAGTTGAGGAAAGTGTTATCTCTAAAAGCACGTCAACGACAAAGTTAAACAAGAATGGAGAGAGTGAACAGCCCTGGAGAACACCACTTGAGGTAATCAATTCTGATGACAGTTTGCCATAAGCTCTCACTCGACCAGTTGTGTTCGAGTAGAGAGCTCTTACAAGGTTAATGTGCTTCTTTGGTACTTCTTTCAGTGACAAACACTGCCATAGAACCTCACGATCAACAGAGTCGAATGCCTCCTTAAGGTCGAGAAATACTATGATTGTGGGGCATCTGAATGTGTGTCTATGTTCTAGGACCTGATGTAGTGTGAATATCTGGTCTATACAGCCACGTCCAGGTCGAAAACCAGCTTGGTTTCTTCTAGTCCGCTCTTCACGAGCTTTAGTTAGGCGTCGAAGTATTATTGAAGCTAATATTTTAGACACTATATTAGTCAAACTGATTCCTCTGTGATTGTCACAAGAGGACTTTTGTTCTTTCTTATAGACTGGCACAATCAGTGATTGAGACCAGTCAGATGGGATTGCGTCCAGTTCCAAAATTCTACCTAAGACCTCGGTTAATCTCATTGCTAATACTAGACCACCATCCTTAAAAATCTCAGGAGTAAACCTGTCAGGGCCTGCTGCTTTCCCTCGCTTCAAATTTCCTGTAGCTTTCTCAAATTCGTAAAGAGTCGGAGGACTTATATTAACTTTCCATCCAGGTCAACTGGAGATCGTGGGAAACCTAAGTGTGGCTAAAGGCCAGTTGAACTGATCCCTAAAGTGTTCTGCCCATCGATCCAATCTCCTGGATTGAGAATGTATAATATGTCTATCTTTTTCCGAGATAGTTTCGATAACAGTCAGGTTCCTAATACCGGTTTCCTTAATAAGTCTGAACAGTTGTCTGCTATTACCTATTGCTGCTGCCTTTTCCATCTCTCTTGCTTTCGCTGCCCACCACTGTTCGTGATCATTGCGTAGGCTTCTTGTCAGCCAGATGGAATGAGTTTTCGAGCATCTATCAGTGCGGTAGCTGCTGCTGAAATCCAGTGTTGCTCCCTAACCTTACGGGTTACCGTACTAGCAGATATCACTGCTGTTTCCACAGCTTTTCGGATATCATTCCATGCTGCCTCGGGGTGGGCATCACATACATGGCTGCCTGTTTTCCTAGTTGATCCTGAAATATACTCTTAGCTTGACTATCATTAAGTAGGGCCCTAAGAGGTTTCCTTGCAGCGTCTTTCTTACGTCCAGTAAGACGCAAGCAAATACGCGCTTGCACTAGAGCATGATCTGAATCTAAGCATGTGCTCCAGAATGAGCGACAGTCTTCTATCGAGCCCCTCCATCGGTGGCTGATAGCGATGTGATCTATTTGGGTTCAACGTTGGGACGAATTAGGGGGTCGCCATGTTAAAAGATGTTCTTCCTTATGTCTAAAGTTAGTATTTGCAAGAAACAGGCGGTTATCTGAGCATAGCTGCAACAGACGGTCGCCATTATCTGTTCTTTGAGCCACGACACCATAAGATCCACCCAGGTATCTTTCCCTTTCGCTTAGTTTACCTACTTTAGCATTAAAGTCACCAGCCACTATTACTACATCAGAGCGCCTAGCTTTTCGGAGAAGGTCGGAAAGCTTTCTGTAAAATTCATCTTTTACATCATCTGAGCTGCAGTCAGTGGGAGAATAGGCAGAGACGACGAAGAGGCAACGACGAGTGTCCCTATCTTTCCGAGTCCTTACTGTTCCGTTCAGTCGGACAGCGCACAAACGACTGTCTACTGAGATCCAGTCTAAGAGAGCTATTTCTGCCCTAGGACTCAATGCTACGCCTACGCCGGCGAGGCCACGAGAAGCAGCATCAGAGCTTCCAGATACACGATGTGTGGATTGAGTTGGTTTTTTGTTTTGACATAGTGATGTCATTTGAATGACGCTACTTGGATCCTGTATGCGCGTTTCGGAGACGCAGCACACATCGATGGCGCGAGATTCTAAAATTCTAGCTAAGGAAGCTTGTTGTCCTATTTGACACAGTGTTCGGACGTTATAAGCTCTAACATGGAGTTTAGGGCGTGATTTCAGGAGACCAGGAATAAAGTTCCGCGTACTCGAATCGTTTTCCCTAGCGGTGCGAGATGATAAAGGGATGTGATAAGGGTTAGTCGGGGAGATAAGAGTGGTATTAGGAAGTGTAGGAAGGATTTGAATGTGATCAACTTGGTCTCGTGTGCTGTTACGGGTGTGGGGGCTGATGTCACTTTCCGGCTGCCCACACCGTGGAAGGGTATTTCTTAAGGAACCTGAAAAGGAATTCGGATGAGTGGTCTTGACGACTTGGGAGCGTGACCGCAGAGCCCAGGGAACAACTGCTTGAGGCCGGTCGCGCACGGCCTTTTTGTGGAAGGTTTTTGACGTGTTAGCTCCGTTCTTCAAAGGGCCTTACCTCCGGAGACGGAAATCCGTGAGGTAAGTTGAGGTGTGACATTTTTAGGGTCGACCTTTTCTAACCCCTTCCTTCCTTGTGAGAAGGCAGAATCGCTGCAGATGCTGGTTGTCCGAGGGAAACATCTTACTGCTGTCACACCCCTATACAGTCAGCAGTACGACTTCGCCCTCAGACCTTGAGTTGTTGCTTCTAGTCTTACCGTTCTCCAATCGACCTGCCTGGCATGGTAGAACCTACAGGAACATATATTCCAGCCAATATAGCTCGGTTGGGTCATCACGATAGGCAAGCCCGACCACCGCGTCAAGGTAGCAGCTTCGGTCGGGCAGGGTTCTAATGGACTTCAAGGGCTTCGTTTATTCCAATCGAATAACCTGCACGTGGCCGGATACTTCCATTAAGTTTCTTAACAATCACTATTGGTGCTGTTCAATAAGGAAAGTTCACTTGTTCTATGACCTATCCGAACAAGGTCGATCCCCGACCGAAGCTGCTACCTTGACGCGGTGGTCGGGCTTGCCTATCGTGATGGCCCAACCGAGCTATATTGGCTGGAACATATGTTCCTGTAGGTTCTACCATGCCAGGCAGGTCGATTGGAGAACGGTAAGACTAGAAGCAACAACTCAAGGTCTGAGGGCGAAGTCGTACTGCTGACTGTATAGGGGTGTGACAGCAGTAAGATGTTTCCCTCGGACAACCAGCATCTGCAGCGATGCTGCCTTTTCACAAGGAAGGAAGGGGTTAGAAAAGGTCGACCCTAAAAATGTCACCCACTTTTGACTTGTTTGATAGCCATCCTGATTTCTTCCGTCGTTGGTGGAGTGACATCTATAG